CAGCGCCCCCCAGTGGGGATGTGCCTGCAACCAAGGTACGTGCCCTTGATCGGAATCGAACCTGGGACCCCTGAGTCCGCAGGGGTCCCACTCTATCCACTGAGCCAAACCGGTCAGGGCCCCCCATTTTTCTTTGCATAAAATGAAATTCACTCTGCAGGCCCCGAGGTCATTTTCGTCTCTTCACCCCCGGGACACGGGCCCTTCTGCGGCAGCTCTCTCCTTTCCCAGTCCCCAGCTAAGTGTTCCTATTTGCAGGCTCGACTGGGTTTAAATTGGCTTTACTGCGGACACCTTGCAGCTCCCAATAGCACAGAGACAAGTGGTAAAAAAAAAAAAAATCTGCACAGAAGAGCGAATTCTGGAGAGAGGGACGCACGAGGCTGAGTCAGCAGACGCGGGGCCTGTGGCCACCTGGCCGGCTCTGGGCTCCGCCCCCGCTAAGCCCAGCAGCACTGGCCACGCCCACAGTGGCCTCCCTCCTGGACGCTTCCGAATCGCCCTCACCTGCCCCCCTCTTGGCCGGTGAACATCCTGAAGTCTACCAGCCCTTCGGACAAACCTCACCATGGGGAGACGCTCCCCGGGCGTGCCCAGCCCTCACTTCTCCTGGGCCAGATCCCAGGGAAAGACTCCACGGCTCTCCACGCGACGCCTAAAATCCTACCCAGCCCAACAATCGAGTGAGCTCCAGGGCCAAGGCCGTGGCCAGAGACACCCGGGCCGCGTGCGTGTGGGGAAGGCTGTTCTGAGCTGGCGGAGCCGCCTCCGTTTCTCTGCTCCCGTCCTGAGCCTTAGGTGGGTGCTAATCCCCCCCTAACTTCTGTGCTCTCTTGGGAGGCTCGAGTGAAACGCACCCGCAAGGGCTCTGCGAAGTCGGGTTATACAACCCGAGGCCTTGTCCTAGGTGGGGAGAGCCTCTGACCCCGGAACCGGGAGGGGGCTCGCCCCAACCTCAGCTCGCCCTCCGAGGCCTCGCTGCAGTTTCCCACCTGCTCTCCACTTGGGTGACGGTCTGTGTCTTCCCCCGGCGGCTGCTGGGTGAGGTCAGAGCGCTGCCCCTGTGCGTGGGGACGTCCCTCCTCTTTCCTGGCCAGACCCCAGTCTTGCTCATCTTGTCGTGTGCGTGTGAGCCCTCCTCTCTCTCTCCCTCTTTTTTTTTAAGTATATATATTTTTATTTATTTCAGAGAGGGAGAGGGAGAGAGAAACATCAATGATGACAGAGAATCATCGATGGGCTGCCTCCTGCACGCTCCCCACCGGGGATTGAGCCCACAACCTGGGCCTGGGCCCTTGACCTGAATCGAACTGGGGACCCTTCAGGCCGCCGGCCGAGGCTCTATCCACTGAGCCAAATCGGCCAGGGCCCCTCCGCTCTCTTCATCCCAACATCCATGCATCATGAGTCAGCGCTGACGCCCACAGTTCCCCAGGTTATTCTGGGTTTGGCTCGGGAATTGCTGCCTGTTTACAAGTCTGGGATTAACCTGCCAGAGAGCAAAGCAGCCCGCAGCTGTCCTCAGGGCTGGGGAGAGCGCGATAGTGAAACCAGGCCCATCTGCGTTCACAGAAAGTATTTAAGGGCCCAGCACGGAAGCCCATCAATTCCATGGGCAGATGCAGTGTGTCCTCACTCCCCTCCGCGGGGAATCCTCCTGGGGTCCCAAGTTCCACTGCCTGTAACATTCTAACAAACAGGGCAGAGAAGTACTTGTTTAGGACAATCTATCGGGCAGTCATGAAAGTATCTCTAATACAGCTCCTCCTTTTTAAAATTTTTAAGTTGATTTTGAGAGAGAGAGGAAAGGGAGAGAAACATCGATGTAAGGGCCTAACATGGGTTGGCTGCCTCCTGCATGCCCCCTACCTGGGATCAAGCCCCCGGCAACCCAGGCATGTACTCTGACCAGGAACCGAACCTACAGCTTTGGTGGAGTGTCCATCTATAAACCAGGAGGTCACGGTTCAATTCCCGGTCAGGGCACATGCCCGGCTTACGGGCTGCAGAAGGCAGCTGATCAATGATTCTCTCATCACTGATGTTTCTCTCTCCTTCTCCGAAATAAAAACACATATTTTTAAAAAGGGTCGGCTGCTGCCAAGGCAATGACATCCTGTCCCAAGCAAGGGCTGGACCCAGAACAGATGTGTCCCGAAGGCCAGCTCGCAGGGAGCTGTGGGCCCAGCCCCTGCAGGAGAGCCGGCCCGGCCGCCCCGAGGCTCCCCCACAGCACCATCCTGGCAGACGACTGACCCAGCCCCTACGGGGGGGACGCGCTGTGCTCCTTGTTTATTGAAATGCCTGTGAGCACACAGGAGAGAGACACACCTGCCTTTCCCTCTGTGCCCAGGGCTTTGCTTTCCCTTCCTGTGACAATGATCCCCAAGATCCTCTTAGAATGTAAAATGGAGAGCAATAAACCAATTAAAACATAAAGTCAAGCAGGCTTAGAATATAACAAGGAAGACTGACGAATCCACACTGAAACAATTTCAGGAAGGGAAGGGAAAAGGAGGATTATGAATTGAAGTTTAAAAAAATGCTCAAATGAGCCTTTTTTGGGATCTGAAGTCTCTGACACTGATCAGCTTTTTCTTTCTCTTTCTTGGTTCACACAGAATTGGGGCCGTTAAAGACCAAAATTCAACTGAGTAAACTGGGAGATCTGGTTGGTTTTAAGCGATTCATGCACCGGGCAGCACCCTATCCGACAGCTAGGAGCTCTGAGGGGTCAAGGGGTCGAACAAATGGAAGGTCTTTATAGACAGAGGGTGGGGCAGGGGAGTAACTAGCAAAAGGAAAGAATTCTTAGAACAGGGCATCTTTGGGGGCTGCGGGGATGGCAACATTTTTGTCATGCAGCTTGCCTCTTGCCGATGGGGGTGCAGAGAGGGCCCACATGACTAACTCACTGGTGCTGAGCGGACACTCCCAGGCCATGTGATTAGCAGTGGGGCAGGTATTAAATCCAGGCTTGGGGTCACAGGCTATTAGCTGGAGTGACCCCATTTGGGGTCTGGGGGTTTTCTCTTGAACAACGTCTCCCTTTGGTCCTACTCTCAGCTTAACTGGGAGATGTGATCGAACATCAGGGACCAGTGTCGCCCTCAGCTCCGTCGGTTTTGCTGGATCCCTGTGACCTTCACAGGTCACGGCTCCAGGTTCCTAATCCCCACAGCCCGTCCCTCTCCTTCCCGGTGGGGCTTCCTGGTCCCAGGAAGAGCCTTTGCGTGGCTGTCAGCAGGTGCAGACACGGACAGAAGCTTTCGAGCGAATCCAGCGCTGCAGCCTCCTTCAGACGGAGACTCAGAGGAGGGCAACGCTTTAAACAATGAAGCATTTAAGTTAAAGAAAGAAGCAGAGGAGACATGCAATCCACCGGTGGCAGATTAAGGGGGTGAGAGAGCAAAGTGGGGAAACCCTGACTTGGATAAAGAGTGAAAGGGAGACACGTACTTCCGCCCATCGGGCTGCGGGCAGTGAACGCGAACCCTCACGGCGCACGGACGGGCTGTGGGGAAAGACGTGGTCCCGGCTCGGGCTCTGGTGGGGAGGGAGGCGTGCCTTCCGGTCTGGAAACAGAGATCACGCCTGTCACTCCCAAGGTACGTTGTCCCAGATGCCAAAGGCAACAGTTTCAAAGGTCAAGGTTGACCTTCGACTAGGATGCTGCCGGCCGGGACGTGACTACCTGCGCTGACCGGCATGTGGTCAGGAACGTTTACGTCTCTGAGTGTGAAGGCCACCACGCGGGCCTCCCCAGCTCTGCCCCTTTCTCATCCGCACTGATAATCCCGAAGCCTGAGTGCACGTGGG